CGGTCCGAAGTCCACGCCGTCCAAGGGACTCGAGATTTCAGCCATAACTGCAGCGGGCGCATGTGTAGTAAACCCAGATGACATACTGATGCCGCTGCCATGAGTCCCAGCAGCCTCTGATGAGATGACACATTCCAATCAAGTGAACAGAGCTGCCCAGTCTAAAATGGTGCAGGGAAGACAAAATGGCCGCCGAGCGCTCCCGATAGAGGTGAGTGCGCATCTCCACTGAGTCAAAGCACACTCTCAGATACGTTATTGACTGACTCGGGGTGAGAATGGTCTTACGCACATTCACACATAGCCCCAAGAACTCCAAGTGACGAAACAGTTTGTCTGTATGGCTGGCTATAGTGTGTCCCGTGACTGAGCTAAGATCAGCCAGTCATCCAAATAATTGAGAACACGCATTCCGCTTGCTCTGAGGGGGGCGAGAGCTGCGTCCATGCACTTCGAGAAAGTGCACGGGGCCAAAGCCAGCCCAAACGGGAGAACAGAGTACTGGTATTACACAGTTCGAGTAACAACACAGTTCGTTCTTGAACACCGCTTCTGCGTGTCAGAGCACGTGATATATTATAAGGAGTAACGATATGTTTTATGAAATGTAATGAAGTAAAAAGTACGATCTTATGCTTTGGAATGTAGTGAAGTAAAAGTAAAAGTTACTCAAAATAAAACTACTCCAGTAAAGTACAGATACTTGAAAAATGTACTTAAGTACAGTAACGAAGTAAAACTACTCCGTTACTGTCCACCCCTGCCAGGCTATAATGACGCAGCAGCAGAGTAGGACAGTTAAAACTGTATGACTGCAAAACCATAGTTAAAAAAATTTAACATTTGAAATACACAGTCTGTGTTACTACTTTACATAATATTTGCATTACAGAGTAAATTAGTTTACTTAATTAAATTAATTAGTAAATTAAATTAATTAGTACATTTTTCTTTTATAGGTTATGGACAAATGTGCAGAAGCACAAAAATAGCAATGTGCGCTAACAAAATAAATACAGTCGATTTTGATTTCATGTGTACTTTAATGCTTAAACTTAGACTGTACTTCTCAGTCAACAATTGCACCGTTTCCTTACATTTTTCTTCTCCTCACTGGTCTTCCTTTGGCTGGTAAGATGTTATTAATTTTAGTCTTTCTGAATTTGCATTGTGCATTGTTTTTTAAGAGCAAAAATTATTTGAAAGCTAGAATATGATTTAAATAAAAATTTGTAGAAATCATCAGGGTCCAAGTACCAACGGCTCATGCGGATGATTAGTTGTTGCAATTGAAATGTTTCTTTTCAAATATAATGTGGTTTTTACAGAAAATCCCATTTTGAATTTTCACCGATAGTTTGGGTTTGATGAAACGGGTTACAGCAACACGCTGGTGTCAAAAGGGACAGCTGACTTTCAAAAGAAATCACCCCCTCTAACAGTCAGAATGAAAGTGAGAACGAGAAGAACCACTGTAAATATTTTTACTATCATAAGATATTGTGATCAGAAGATATGTGGTGTACATGGACTGTGTAACATTTACATTTAGAAGAATTGCATGTCACAGATCATTTTGCAGATCAAAATAAAGAAATGAAAAAATTAGGTCCTTTTTATTTTATATATACTGTATTTCTTTAGTATGTGTAGTCTTCCAACCTTTCAAATGGTGTATTTATGTTTAAACTCTAATGTACAATGTTTTGTAGAACTGTAACTAATAAGTGAACACCCCAATAAATACATTTTCAGCTCAAAAGGATATACAACGTTTGTGTTTTTGTACATTGATAATATATGAAACTGCTTCAGTTGTACAGTACATAAACAAGCATATATTGATTGGTGCTTGCATGCCATTTTGGCCAGCAAAAATTATTAATTCATACATTTATAATATAGCAATACATGTGGTGAAAAAATACTACACAGAACAAATTTTCATAAACACAATGTGTTAGACAAAGTAAATAAACTGAATCAAAATCTGGTGCTTCTGAGCTGGTGCAGAATTTTACAAAACGTGTCTCAGAATGTCCTATTGTGTCGAGGTTTGTTAAGCTTTAAAGGGGTCATATGATGCTTTTTTAAAGATCATTATTTTGTGTATTTGGTGTAACAGAGTTTGGCAGATCAGCTTGTAAAAATGGGCATTGCCTGACCAATTAATTAACTTGTATCTTCGCAGTGCTTCGACAAATCAAAATACTTTTGATCCCTTTTTGCCAACACTGTCCCTAGTTGCTGTGCCTATTTTGGTGAAGATCAAACCAGCGACCTAGGAAGTCTTTGAAAATGTGTACGGCATTAAGCTAACTGAGACTTGTTATAGCACTTGCATATCATTGCCCTTTTGTTGATTTTGATTGCTTCCATTGTCCTCATTTGTAAATCGCTTTGGATTAAAGCGTCTGCTAAATGTCTAAATGTAAATGTACAGTATATACATATACACACACACACACACACACACACACACATATATATATATATATGTGTGTGTGTGTGTGTGTGTGTATGTGTGTGTGCGCCCACATACTTTCAAGGCAGAACAATAAGGAAAAAGAATGAGAAAATCTATACAAACACAGATTCCAGCACCTTTGGTGCTTGCACCCCTAAAATCCCAATTTCTCCTTAATCTGATAATGGTGTAAGTTTGGTTTTTGTCACAGGTGGCATGGAGAGTAGTATTTTTGGAGGAAAAGAGGCTAAACATCATTCCAGGCCTTACATGGTGTCTATTCAGTGCAAAAATCATCACACATGTGGAGGGATGCTGATCAGACAGGATTATGTACTGACAGCGGCCCACTGTTTGTCTCTGGCTGCATTATTTATGATGCTTTTCAAAAAGCCCTGTTGTAGCCTTGAGACTTTTTGAGTCTTTTTCGAGACTATTTTATGTGTAAATCTATGTTTAGTTATTCAAATACATTTAGACCAAAATACCTTCTTTAAACAGTTTTAAATTTTTTCCACAGTCGCAGTGACTTCTCTAGTCGAGACCACTTTGAGGTTGTTCTGGGAGCTCACAACATCAACAGGAAGGAGAAGACCCAGCAGAGAATTCCAGTGATTAAATACATCCAACATCCTATGTTTGAACGGAACAAGAAAGAGGACTGCAGCTATGATAAACTGTTAATAAAGGTATTTTCACCTTCACCTACTGTCACTCTATATTATGCTCTTTGTTTACTCTCTTTAAATTATTTTGCTATTTGCAGCTGAAGAACAAAGCCAAGCTGAATAAGTTTGTGAAAGTTATGTGTCTTCCTAAGAAAAATGGGAAAACACCAGCTAATGTTAAATGCTACATTGCTGGTTGGGGGTTGAAAACACCAAAAGGACAACAGGCATCAGATGTGATGCAGGAGGATAGTCTCAAACTGCAGGAGAACTCAAAATGTAAAATATGGTGGAAGCAGTACTTCAACACTGAGAGAATGATCTGTAGTGTTTCAGATGGGAAACATGCTTTTTGTTTGGTACTCTATATTATATTATATTATATTATATTATATTATATTATATTATATTATATTATATTATATTATTAATATACAAGCTTACCCCATACCAAAATCATGGATCTTTCTTATCTTTTTTTTTTTTTTTTTTTACAAATGTTTAAAATATTTAATTATATTATATTATATTATATTATATTATATTATTAATGTATTTCTCTATCCATCTTATTCACTAGGTGGATTCAGGAAGTCATCTTATCTGCTATACTAAACCACAAGGAATTGCTTCATATACCATTAAAAATAACTGTACAAATACCACATATCCACAAGTTTATGTTAAAATCTCCTACTTCCTCCCCTGGACTAAAAAGAAAATTAAAATGAATGATTGAATGAATGTAAATTGGATTTTACATTAAATGTTTTTCTCTTTTAGACAAAAAAAAGGATTTTTTTCCCGCTGCAACTGTCAAAATCTCAGTGCATTTGTTTTTATCCTGTTTATAGATTACTAATAAACAAGTGATAAGACTTGATTTCTGTATTAATTGATTGACCGTGAAACTTCTAGAAATAAAATTCACAGCAATATTCATTAAACCATTAGAAGATTTATTAATAATAATTGCTTAGAATATAATATATTTTATATATGTAGGTTCCATATAAGTGCCATAATAGCTGTAAGGGCCAATCTGGTCAATCTTAATATATATACAGTGGGTACGGAAAGTATTCAGACCCCCTTCAATTTTTCACTAACACTGATAAAATGATATGCAATAATTATATAAAATGATCTTTCCGTACCCACTGTATATATATATATATATATATATTTGATTTTGTTTCAAATAGCAGTTACTTTAACTGTGCAGGGGTTGGTGTGTGATTGTTTGATACTTATCTTAGTCTGTTCCTGCCAAAACCTCTTGAGTGATGCTGTGAAAAGTCCCCCTCTGAAATACCCCGTTTATATGCAAGCATGTGGTGAGAGGTATGAAAACTAGAGGTGTATTTGAGCCAAAGTTGAGAATATTATTAAAGTGTCAATATGTCTACTGTCTGTCTTATCAAAAGTAGATCTTTTCGTTGACAACCATCTAGAGTTGTAAATACTTAATATAAAGCTTTTCAGTATTTTGAAATATTCCAAGTTCAGATCCTGTTTGGGCAATGACCGGGCTCTTTGTCTGGCAGATGAATATCAGAGATAATAAGAGTTGGTGCTGATATGAAGTAAAATGCATCTCATGTTTTCTTATCTGCAACTGAATTATACCAAAGCATTTTGAGGTTGATAATTTAAGAATTATATATTTCACTTTTTGCAAAAAAAAATGTTTTAGATTTAATTAACTAATGTGACTGTGTACGTGCACCAAGGGCCATACAATTGTGGAGTTTGATTTATATGAATATATGTATATTTAAAGAAGTGGAAAAAGAAGAGCCAAACAGTTTATTCAAATTGATCTTTATTTATTGTTGATGTCTCAAGTAAATAGCTCTGTACATGCACAAAATTAAGAACTTGCTAATATAGCAAAGAATTGTGAATCAATTTTAACTTACAAAGATCAACAAAAAGGTAAATCTATGATAATATTAATTTCGTCCTTCAGATGACTGGTAGCAAATCCTAAAGATTAAGCAGAAATGGTTCAGGGTAAAAAAAAACAAAAAAAAACGTCATATGTCCTGAAATGATGCTATAAACAGGGAAACTGTTTACGTTACCTTTTACCAAAAAAAAAAACCTCATTAGTATAAGCAGTATACATGAGAAAGGGGCATTTCCTTGAGTCCAATTTTTCTACCTTTACATATGAAAATACAAATATCTCAGAATACAGGCGATGATCAATTCACAATAGTTCTGTCAAGGTAGGCTGGAGGTTAATGTTAAAAAACAACCCTCAAACTGATTGAACTTTGCAGAGAAACACAACAGAAGAATATTCATATGCTTGTCCAGGTTACAAGCAGGACTAAACCCACCAACCCAAAGTCTATGTGTAAACTCCATCATTGTGGAAACTCTTGAAATTAAAGCGCCTCCTGTCGGTGAAATTCTGCATCTAGGGAGAAAAAAACATAATAGATTATTAAATAACAAAACAATAATGCATTACTCTACATTAGAATTATAAATGAATTACATATACAGTCTGATTTAGAATATTATAAACATGTACAAAAATGTGGTCACATGCAAACAGAGAAAGCACACACTCTCACCTGGCTAGGGTCTCTTGTGAAGTATCTCTTCTCTATTACCTAAAGAGAAAAAATAATAATTTACACACAACTTGCATATACACTGCACAGAGACACGGTATATCATATATTTTAGTTTCAGTGAAGTCCCTACCTTGTCAAAGAATCGGCTCAATTTAACAGCATTTGATGATCCAGCAGCAAGATACCGTGGATTTGTACAATCCTGAGAAGAAAAGCAGGACAAAGCTCAGAATTCATAAGTGCAAAATCCCCAAAGGAGATTTAATACAACAAATGGAGTTTTTTGCTTAATATTATACGAGTTTGGGTATTGTAACAGCACTAAAAAGCACACACCAAATTGATCTCTTCCGCATTAAAGTCTTCAGATAGAAAGGCAGTGCGGGTCAGCACATCATTCCTCTTGTTTTCCGGGATCTGATCAAATTTGGTGCCAATAAGCAGGAGAGGAACAGAGTTCTCTGCAAACTGTTCTCTGTCATAATCCCTGCAAGTGCAAAACATCACAATTATTTCTTTTTAACATATCTGGGAATTTATAGACAAAATAAAGTATGGTATTCTCTCTCTGTATTCTGATATATAATCGTTCATACATCCAGAAGTTAACCTTGACTCACCCATTTGACACAATGATGCCAGTTGGAGAGGAGTCTTTGCTCAGTGCCTCCAATGACCAGCGGTACAGATTCAGGGAGGATTTCTTGTTGGTCAAATCATGAACTAAAATAATACCTAGAAGGGAAAAAAGTGATTTAGCATTAAAGAAGAGTCATTACAAATATTCCAGCATGCTTTTTATTTGTACACATATAAGAACACATTTTAATGGTGTGTCTGATACTTAACCATTTACAGAATTGTAAAACACAGCTCTGGTGCTTTTAACACTGCTGGCACTGCCAACAGATCCCCCAACGTCCCAGAGTTCAATGTAGTATGTCTTCTCTTCTGGAGTGCCTTCTCTGTAGTCATGAACCTGTGAAAAGAATCAAGACTGAGTTTACTTTATTTCATAGGTTTATATGATAATGACACAGTAAATTAATAATAATCACTGCACATTGTCACTGTACCCTGACGTCCACTGAACAGCCCACAGTCCATGACGGATTCCCCAAAACTTGATTCTGGCAAAGTAAATGTACAAGAGAGGACTTCCCCACTCCTGTAAACAGACACAAAATAACACTGATTAGAACAGCAATACTGAGGCTCACAAAGTATTTATTTTTAAAAGAAAAAGTACAACATCGAAAGTGTGGTTCCTCATGATAGATATTCTCAAATAATAACGAACATAATAGTAATATTGTAGAAATCCAAGCAAATGTGTCAGGCTAATACTTCTAGCTTGAGTCGAATATTAGACAACACTCTTATATTTTAAATGTACATTCACAATATCTTTGAGGAGGTTACAGAAAAAAACAAGGTCGACAGATTATTTAGGTAATATTTATTACCAGAATCTCCCAAAACCAACACTTTCACCCTGTCCAAAGATGCCATTTCTTTCCGGAAGTACGCTGTGGTCTCTGTCCGTGTATGAGAACAAAATAAAAGTTGCAGAAATACGTGAAGACTGCACAGAGCTGAGTATAGTGAAAATCTAAGTCAATAAAACGGAAAGTATAAACTGAAAAAAAGAAAAAGAAATAAAGTTCTGTATTTAATAGTAGCCCTTGTGTGATATGTGGTTTAATTTTTATTATTAGCCTCGCTCGCTTGCGTTTAATATCAACATTACTACAGTTCTTTATAATATAATATAATATAATATAATATAATATAATATAATATAATATAATATAATATAATATAATAT